GTGGACGCAAGTCAAGGCATGGAGGGGCTCTGGTGGCTCTGGGATGGAGCTTCCTCCCATGGAGGGGCTGCTCCTTAGGTTTCCCTGTGCTGGAGAAGCTTTAAGACAAAGGTGAAGGAAAGGAGTTGGTTCTGATGGAGGAGGGTTTTTTGGATCCAGAGCTTTATTCTGGCCCAGCAACAGCTTCAACAGAACTCTCCAAACTGCATGGTTGCTGTTCCTTTTAACCCCAGGGAGAGGAGGAGGGAAGGAACACGGGGACCATCAACCAGGTACAGCAGGGGAGGTCTCAAGGGACAAAGGACACCTGGATCGCCCAATGTCCCCCAAGGGTAGAGAGCATCCTTTGACTCTGCCAATCACTCCATGCCCTTCTGGAATGCCAGGACTGACTGACAGTGCTGGGCAGGGGTTAGGGAGGGAGAGGTGACTGACACACTCAGCAGGGAATCACCATGGGAGGAACCGGGTTTCTGAGGTAAATCCTGGAATCACAACGCAGCAAAGGCTGCTCCATGATTCCTGATGTGCCTTCTCCATGCTGTCCCTGTCCCCTGCTGCTCCATGATTGCTGACGTGCATTCTCCACGCTGTCCCTGTCCCCTGCAGATACTGCGAGAGCCGGCGGAGGGTTTTGTTGCAGCACGTGCATGAAGGCTACGAGAAGGACCTGTGGGAGTACATCGAGGACTGAGCCCGGCCCCGCAGCAATGAACTCTGAACCCTTTCCCATCCTAGAGTGCTCATGCAATTCCAATAAAACCCACCCAGGGCGCTGCTCCGCCTCTTACACCGCTGGTCTGTAGTACCGGGATTCTGTTTTGTTAACAGAAAAATTAAGTAAATTATATTGTAATAAAAAAAAAAAGGTAGATAAACCATTGTACAACAGTATTCTAGGCGGCCAAGAGTGTGACAGACGCACTAAAAAACCCTCCAACTTTAACTTGTAACGTAGCTTCATCCTCCAAGCCGACTCCTTTTTCTTTTTCTCTTTCTTTTCCTGTGTGTAGTACAGATGAAACTTAAACCAGTTTCTTGACACTGCTTTTCATGTCCAAACCAGCCATTTTGATGGACTTTGGTAAGGGGGGTGGCTCTCCCGCCCCCCCTCCTCCTCTCTGCCACCCAAATACATGGATGAATGTGGATTGGCTCATTGTAAAGAGGATTTTTGGGGAGGGAAGGAGGGGGGTACACAGCAAGGAAAAAAAAACCCCAACCTTTGTATATGACTTTTAAAACAAAAAGAGGACAACACAGTATTTTTCAAAGTTGTATATAGCGCATATGCATGGACAAAGAGCAAGCGTGGCACGTGTTTGCATAATGTTTAATTACAAAAAAATATTTATTCTTTAAAAATCTTCAAGATTATGTCTATTTGCTGTGCATTTCCTTTCAGTTTGATTCTTTTGTTTGGTTTTGTTTTTGGTTTTTTTTTTCCCTGGGCTGGGGTGGGGGAAGCGTGTGCTGGTGTAGTGAATATATCTATATATATATATATTTTTTTTTTTCTTTTTGGAAGGCTTTTTCCAGAGCAGTTGGGTTTCTCCTCTTCCTGCAGTTCATTTCTGTCCAGGGCCTCCCCCAGGTCTGTGTGTGTATCCATTGCTGGCGACGGACGCGGCCCCTCGCAGCTCCTGGAGCTCTGGTTCAGGATGCCTTGCCTTTTTCTTGGTTTATTTTTGGCCCCAGATCTATCTTTACCTGCCCAAATCCAGCTCTCTGTTCCCACTGGTGCACGCAGGACACGTGCTGTGATCCCAGAGGAGGCGTGTGAGTGCGTGTGTGTGTGTGTGTTTGTGTGTGTTTAGAGGTTTGTTTTGGATCCCGAGGCAGGACAAGGAGGGGTGTTTTAAACCACTTCTCCAAAGGCTTCCTGCGAGATTTCGGCTGTGGATCTCCTCTCCCTCCACCTTTCATCTGTCAAATGGACCCTTTCTTGCTGTTTTAATTTTCACTTCATTATAACGAGTCGTAACATGGAAAAGGAAAGCTGATGGAATTGTCTTTGTGTTTGTTTTGGGCTCAATCACTGGGCGTCCTGTCCTGGCAACTATTTAACACTCCATCTAGTGCAGTAGAAGCTGAAATCAGCGGAGTATTTTTCAATTAAAAGGGGAAAGAACTAATGAGTTTAGCTACTGAGTCCATTTTTATGATTTCTGTAACAAGAGCTATGTTAAAGTAAACAATTGGTGGTGGTTTTATTAAATTTACTCCTGTATAGGAATTCCTTCTGTGGTATTTTTCGCCAGGCAAGTGTCCTTCAAGCCTCCTGCCGCTCTGCCAGCTTCCAGGGGATGGAAGTTGTGAAGGGATCAGATGAAAAAGGCAGATCCCAGGCAGGGCTGTAACACGGGATGCTGTTTCCAGCTGGCAGCGGGCTCACTTCGCCTCCCTCACCGCTCCTACCGCTATTCCATGGATGTGGTTTTGTCCCTCTATCCCTGCTTTTCCCTTTATTTGCCCTGGAAATCAAACCTGGTTTGGTTTTATCCCGTTTTTCCCTTTATTTGCCCTGGAGATCAGAGGCGAGGGAGTGCAGCCGCTTTCCCCGTGCTGTTCTGGTGCTGCTGGAGGGGTGGGATGGCGCAGGGCTGCGTGGAGCGGCCGTGCCCGTGTCCGTCCCTGCCATTCCCGCTGGGAATTCTCTGTCCATGCAGTGAAACACTTGGAAGCTGGGCTGGGCAGGGCAGGTACAAGCACAAAGGCCTTGGGTTTTCACTCCGCGCTCCCCGAAAGGAAAACGCCAGGAATGAGGGCACTCCCCCCAAAGGGGAACCCGCTCTGAGGCGTCCTCAGTCCCCGTGGCTGTGGGCAAATATAGAGACAGTGACAAAGCCCTGTTCTGTGGGAGAACCTGCTGCAGCTCCTTTCCCCCAGGTTTCAGGCGCTCGCAGTGAACTACCATCCCCACAGACACTATGGGAATATAAACGAAAATAAACAAAATCCGCCATGCCAACCTCCCTCCCCGCTGCTACTGTGGGGCGGGGAGGGAGCGGGACCGCGGCCACTCAGCGCTTCCCGGACTATCCCTTCTCACTGGCGGTCTCATTTCCCTCTACATCGTGGAGTTCCCAATAAAACCTTCCAAAACCCGGACATTTTTATTATTTCTGTGGTTTTTCGGGTGTTTAAAGGGAGGTTGGGATTGATTGGGGGGGGGGGGGGGGGGGAGTCCTCCCGCCGCCATTTTCCCGCCGTGCCCCGCGCGCCATGGCCGCGCCGGAAGTGGCGGCGGTCGCCATGGCAACCCCGGCCCGCCGCGGCCATGGCGGAGCCTCAGGACGCCACGGTGAGGGGAGAGGGGAGAGAGGCACCAGGGCTGAGGGGGAGAGAGGGACAGGAGGGGAGGGGAGAGGGATGGAGGGGACGTGAAGGGAAGTGCCAGCGGCGGCGGGAAGTTCTTTTGAAGAGCGAGTTTTTAATCCGCACACTTGGTATGGAAAACGTGAGGGAACTTCAGCCTGTGCTGAGGTAATCAACGTTAATTATCGATTATTAGGTGCTGGAACAGGGGAAAAGTTAGGGAGATGGGGAAGAGGCTGCAGCACAAGGAGCGGCTGAGGAAGTTGGGGGTGTGTGCAGAGAAAAGGAGGCTCGGAGAGACCTCAGAGCCCCTGCCAGGGCCTGAAGGGGCGCCAGGAGAGCTGGGGAGGGACTGGGGTCAAGGAATGGAGGGACAGGACACAGGGAATGGCTAAAAAGTGGAAAAGGGTAGGGTTAGATGGGATATTGGGAAGGAATTGTTCCCTCTGAGGGTGGGGAGGCCCTGGCACAGCTGTGGCTGCCCCTGGATCCCTGACAGTGCCCAAGGCCAGGCTGGATGGAGCTTGGAGCAGCCTGGGATGTGGAAGGTATCCCTGCCCATGCTAGAGGACTGAACAAAATGATCTTTAAGATCCTTCCAACCCAAGCCATTCCATAATTCTTTCGTTTTTTGGGGTGGAGAGTGGTTGCTGTGGAGCCCCTCACAGTCAGTACCAGGCCTGGGTTGTTCAGTGTTCTTAGAAATTACCTGGACAAAAGGACGGGTAGAAAGTTACTCAGGTGAGGAGGAAATAGGGGAAACTCCAGGAAAGTCTTAGCAGAGAGAGAGGATTCAGAATGATGGGTGTGCAGATTAAAAAAAAAATTGCAATATGTAAAAAAATGAAGTGTTTGTGCTAGTTATTCCTGCTGAGGATGGAGTGCTCAGAGTAGGGTAAATCTGTGAAAATCCAGTTCAGTTTTTCACGAAAGGAATCTGAAAAGTCATTAAAATTTTAGAAACTGTTAAGAAACAAAAAAGTAAACAGTAAAAGAAAAAAAAAACAAAGGAAGAGCCTTTCTTGGGTTATTTTTCATGTCTCAGCCTCTCTGATCTGCCCCATCTCCAGTAAAGAAAAAGATGCAACTAGAAAGTGTTCCCAAAACATTGCAAGGAACAAAGATTGCCTGAATCTCTGATTTTAAAAATTATTTATTAAGGAGAGGGAAGATGACACAGGTGTATAAAATCCCGCGTTGTGTCTTCCCAAAAATCAGAAGGAAAAATAAAAATACTTTCCTGTGTAAGCCCATTTCTCTTCCATGAAGGTTTGATGGCTGATGTAAAGTAAGAAAATCATGTAAAATTAATGTATTTTCCACAGACTGGGAGCTCTGGGCAGTGTTTGCTGGGGGAGGTTCCCTGCCCTCCATGTGATGGGACATCCCTGTGCTCACATCCTGTGCACTCAGATGATTCCCAGGAACAGCTTTGCCCTAATTAACATCATAAATGTTTGATGATAAATGGCTTTGACTTATTTTCTCTGTGATCTCTAATTAGGTCCTTAAATGCTCTAGTATTTTTTTTTTTTTGCAAGGTAAAGATCACTTTGGGATGCGGGTGATCAGAAGTGACCCCACAACAGGGATGTGCTGCACAGTGGGGGTGTTTATTTAATCAGAAATCTCTGCCTTGCTTGGCAGGGCAGAGTTTGTCCAGCAGCAATGCTGCTATTTTTATGCCCTCCTTTGGGATTTGCCAGTTGTCCTTTCTGATTATTTTCTGGAACAGAGCTTCAAGAACCCTTGCCTGGTCTATTTACTACTCCTGGTTTCTGTCTTTTCAGGTTTCTCCATCGCCAGCGGCTACAGAACCAACAAAACCCCGTCCTAAAAAAGGTTTGTTTGAAGATGTGATTGTGTTTCTTGGGCAGGTTAGTTTAAAGGTTTCTTCTGTAGTGTTTGCAGCTGTCTAGGAGGAAATAAATGTCCTCTGGGAAAAGGGGAGACTGTCTAGACTGTAATTTGCTGAGTACCAGTATTTTTCCAGGGTCTCTGTGAGCTCAGTGCTGTTCCTGGCTGACTTGCCATAGCCACAGCCTGTATCATGTTTGCTTATAATCTGAGAGAGTGTTTATTTTATTGTGTACTCACTTGTGGGGCTGTTAATGGGTTTGATGCTCATTTATCCTCTCAAATAGTAACAGGTTTGTTTTGGGTCTTCAGAATGATGTCTTGCTCTGGAAATAATCTTGGGAAGCAAACATTCCATCTTGTGGGGTTTTTTTATGTCACATGTTCCAATTTTTGAAGTAAAAGTGGTATCTAATCAGGCAGGTTGTGAGTTTAATTATAGTTTATTTGCTTTTGTTTGTTTCTTTTTAATAATGAAAATGTGTTAATTCACTCAGTGCAAATTGTTGGTTTTGAAGTCTTGGTTGAATCTGAACTGGAACAGGTGCAATTTCTGTTGTTGGTTCCAAATGTTTGACCAAATCCTGCTGCTTTTTGAGGGATCTGGTAAATTCTTGAGCCTCTCCTTTTCTGTTTCCCTCATTCTTGAGGGAGGACTTGTCCTGACACACACAAAGTGTTCCCTTCTCTGTGCACTGCTCCCCTTCCAGCCCAGCTGTGCTCACTGCAGAGCTTCTGTGCCTACCTGAGCTGAGCTTTTGGGGTGGTTTTTGATAGATTCTCCTTTCCTGAGTGCACAATTCAGATTTTAATTAGGAATATTTCCTCCCAGTGCCAGAAGCAGTCCTCCTTTTGCCTTGCCTTTGCATTCAGGGACTCTCAGCTGGTGAGCAAAGCCCTTTGGCCATTTTCTGCTCTGTCAGAGTATTCCTGATGGGGAATGGGATGGAGCCTGCCTTGGGATGATGCTGGCAGTAAAGAGGAGTTTGACTGGCAGCTGGGCACTGCAGTGACACTCTGCAATGACAAACTGGGTTCTTTGTCCTGCATGAAGGCCTTGAAAAGCTGGAAAAGCCCCTTTGCCTGTGGGGAGCTCAGCCCAACCTTGCATAATCCCAATTCCTGTAGAATTGCAGCCCTTGAGCAGAGTGTGGCTGTCCTGGAGATGGGGCTTGGCTCAGCACAAGCCCAGAACTCTTTGGGAGCTTGCCCAGAGCTGAGGAGAAGATTGCTGCTGCTTCAGGCTTGCAGGAAAGTAAAAATAACTCCCAAATTTACTTTTATCTTGACCCTCAACTCTTTCAGAGCAATGATTGCTCTAAAATGACTCTAAATTGGTTACTTTGAGGCAATTAGTGTGACTTCCATGGAGGCACTGATGGGCTCCCTGGTGAGCTATTTCATCTCTATCCTTTCCTATAAAGGTTATGACTCCCATCTCCTCCTCCATAACCCCCACCCTGCTCTGCCTCCTTGTGCAAGTCCCATTTATTTGTGCCTCTGGATCTCCCCTTTATACTGATATAACCCTTGACTCCAAGTAAACCAGGATGATTTTTTAAAAAATCCTCTAGCCCGTGACTTTTGTAATTCTCTTTTCTGTCCTTTAAGGTAAATTGAGGCATCTCCAGGCCTGGCACACCTCGGGTTGCTCTGACTGAAATGCCTTCAAAGCCTTTGGGCTTTGCCGTTTAATATTTGACTTCAGTGCAGCTGGGAAAGCTGATTTGAGCTGCCTGATCGTTAATCTCTGGGAAATGAGGGCAGCAAAAAGATTTGCACTTGGAGTGATGTAACAGTGTCCTCTGTGTGTGGGTGGGGGACTGGGGGCATGAAAAAGAGGAGGAGGGAGAACGAAAGGATGTTGGATATTTTTTGGTGGAATTTGGCAGGAAAGAGCAGCATCTATTTCCCATGACAGCTGTGTTTTTTTAATAGAATATTCGTAGAACATCTTAATTAAATATTTCATCCCATTTTAGTTTGGCTGAGGAGAATTACGATGAACTTTAGGAGCCAGGCTACATCAGTGTTGTTTGAACAGAAAAGTGCTGCTAAACTTATTTTAAACTGGCATTTTAAACATGGAATGGCCACTTTCTGTTGCAGCAAATTGCCATTTTATATTTGCATTGTGTTTTCAAGCAGCATAAAGCTTTAGTGTCAGTGTTTTCTGTGAAATGCAGAGACCATATGAACAGTTTGGTGTGGGTAAAATTCCTGCCCAGATAGAGCAATAATGGATGATGTGGTTTCACACAGATGTAGCAGAGTGGGACCAAGCCATTAACCATCAGAGTGCTGCATTCAGCCTGTCCAGCTTGTCTGTCTTTGTACTGGGCAGGAGTGAGACATTAAATGTGTGTTTCTGAGAATGGAGTCTCAAATTTGCCAAAAATCATTGGAATGACAAAATACACACCTGAGGTTTGTAACTTTAACAGAAGGCCACGTTTTCAGCAATGCAGGTTTGATACATTGAACCTGAATTTTGCAGCTTTCCCCTCACTGTTCCTTGCTTTCCATTGGATATATTGAACCTGAATTGAGGAGCTTCCCCTCACTGTTCCTTGTTTTCCATTGGATATATTGAACCTGAATTGAGGAGCTTCCCCTCACTGTTTCCTGCTTTCCATTGAATATATTGAACCTGAATTTTGTAGATTCCCCTCACTGTTCTTTGCTTTCCATGGGATATATTGAACGTGAATTGAGGAGCTTCCCCTTTCTCTTCTTGCTTTCCACTGGATATACTGAACCTGAATTTTGTACCTTTCCCCTCACTGCTCCTTCCTTTCCACTGGATGTATTAAACCTGAATTTTGTAGCTTTCCCTCACTGTTTCTTGCTTTCCATTGGATATATTGAACCTGAATTTTGTAGGTTCCCCTCTCTCTTCTTCCTTTCCTCCCATGATCTTCCCTGTGAGCCAAGAAAAGGTGGAACCTACAAGCAGAGTTTAGCAGCTGCATTGTTTGGCTCTTTGAAGGATAATGTTGAGTTTGGAGGTGGGATTTGTTCATGGAGTAGCTGATCCATCATGTGTGCTGCCAAAGCCCTAAAGCTGGGATTTGGGAGGGTCTGGCTTGTGGGCAGGCCAGCCCTGAGGGAACAGGATGAGTGTTCAGCAAGGTTCTGGAGCAGATGGTGTTGGTTGAATCAGGTCTGAAATCTCTCCATGCAATGATCTGAATTAACAGCACGGATGGAGGTGACTGTGGCCACCCTTGGTGACAATTGTCCCTCAGCAGCTGACACAGGAGCAGCATTCATTATTTTGTCCTTTTTCCCCTGTTGGGAGAGCTGCTCCCCAAATCAGTTCCCTTTGTTGCTCCATCCATAACTCTCCCTCTGTTGATCCCCAAGCAACTGAGGGTGGAATAAATAAATTCAAACTCTGCTCCTTGAAGGGATAAGGAGTTAATGTCAGTGTGCTGAGGTGGGGTTTTAATCTCCCTCCTGCATTCTAAATTAATCAGATATTTTCCTAAATGCTGTGCTGGTTTGGAATTGAGATAGGCTGTCTCCCATCTTCTCACTTTCTTTTTCCCACACAGGCAAATCAAATAATTTTATAGGATCTGATGGTACTGGAGTGGGGAATTGCTTTTACCAGCTTGTATTGTTGATTTTTATGGAACAGAACTCAAATTTATTTCCCTTTATTGTGGGAAAAACGTTTAGAAAGAAAGTTCTGAGCTCGTGTTTATCCAATAACAGTTCAGAGGTTAATGGGACAATTTTAAATGCATTTGGATTTCTACATGAATATGAGACCTCAGACTTTCTGAGATGCACTGATGGTGTTTTAATGACAAGGTAGAATCCTAAATATGTACACAGTATAATAAACTCACTGAAGCAAAATTGATTTTGCTTGAATCACTGGGAAGAACTTGTCCTAAAAATCCATTAATCTGTCAAGAATGAGAATTCTGAATTGTCATCAACCACCTCTACACTTACCACAGGAAGGGTCAGGTAAATAATTTTCAAAATGAAAAACCTGTAAAACTATTAGCAGACATCAAGTGTTCTCCTGGGCCTGGGCATTGGGGTATTTTTTGTTTTTTTTTTTTTTTTTAGGGTTTGAAGGAAGGATTTGTCTGTGACCTTTGGCAAAGTGCTCTGGCTTTTGTTGCTTTCCATTTATCAACCACAAGCTTGGCCTAATATCCAGTGACAGGTTTTGGATGCTGCAGGCGTTTGGTTAACAAAACATTTGGAGACATGAAATGAAAAGTATCATATAAATGGATATATTGCAATGCACTGCTTGGCCCGTTGGGTGGTGGCTCTGGTTAGGAGGTGCCAATAAACAATCTCAAAATGTGGCTGTTAATAGTGCTAATAAATAAAAATGCAATAAATAATAATAAATAATGCTCAGATTATGCAGAAATAGGTAAGTGGCTTTTGATGAGCTGGCCTGTCTCTCTCTGGGAGGCTTTTGCTTGTGCAGATGAACCTGTGGGGATCCCTCCTGCTCCTGCAGATGTTTTGAGGGATTCTGTGAGTATTTAATCTGAAGAGCAGGAACTCTCCACCCCGTGGAGTCGATTCCATGCACTTGCAGTGCTGATCATTTCTGAATTTCTGGTACAGTTTCTTAAATCAATATAAATCCATTCTTCGAGCTGGCTTCAAAGCTGCCTTTGAACTTGTAAGAGTGAAGCTGCCTGAGAAATCCAGATAAAAACAACCCCCTTGAGTTAAATTAATTAATACTTCTAAGTGTGTCAGAAAGAAAAGGCCTTAGTGGGAATGTCATGGTCGGAGGGAGCCAATCCAGCCCTTATCTGTCCATACCCATTCCCTTCCATTTGGCCACATGCAGGCCAAGATCTTTTAGTCCATTTGAACCTCCAACCTTGTGGGAAGAAATTGGTTCCTAAATAAGCTAGATTAGTTGGTAATTACATCATTGTTTTATGTAAGAGACTTGGGTATTTCCATCTCGCCGATAAGTGGGGAGCAGTGAGTGC